GATAATGAGATTACCGTAAAATGAACATAATTTTTTAATTCCCGGATTTACATCAATTCATATATTAAATTATGTAAAATATAAAATATGGATTTAATGATTTTATATTAATATATCCTCTTAACATCAAAATATGCACTTATGTGCAAAATAATACATAATACATTGTGTTCAGATTCTTTGCGTTGTGAACCATTGACATATTTTACTGTTGTGGTTATACATCCATCAAAAATATATTTTCACATAGAATTCCACGCTCTAATCATGACGGTCGTAGAGGAGCCAAAGTCGAAAATAATTAAACCAATCGTGTCGTAAACGTTCTCTTACATAGAACGCTATTTCGTGTCCAAGACCAAAAGGCTAAACATACATAATATAAAAATAAAAATATTTGTGTAAACTTTTTACCGCGATCAAGGGTGCCAATCGTGGCAAAAAGTATGAAATAGAGTACCAGGAGTGCATGTGGCACAACGTCGGTACAGCGGCAGTTTCTGTATCCCGACGTTCGGGTGAGCAGCGGCCGCGGAGGGCCAAAGTCGAAAATAATTAAACCGATAATTTCTAAAAAAACCGGTTGAAATATCAATACACGCACCGATAATCAGGGACGGATAAGAACTTTAGACCGGTTTGGGAAAATTATGATTTTTGGCCGCTCCCGTCCTCTAATATCAAATTCCTTTTTTTTTTTTTTTTGGACTTATCTCTGGACCGCAACCGCGGTGCTGGACACATTTCGAAATCATATTACCAATATTTTTTTTTTTATTTGTCTTTTACAATAATTGAAATGTTTTGGTTTTTTAAATTTGTATTTGTTTTTACGTGCGAATCGACGTGATGACGTATTTCCATCGACCGATTATCGCGCGTGTGCGTAGCTCGCGGAACGGAAAACGCGACGCGCGCCCAGCGGAGCCGCCACACGGGAGGCCGCACGTCATTATTACCGCTAACGTTGTTAAAATCGTTAAATCCGCGATACTGTCGCGCTATCGCGAAAAACGCAAACCCCTCTCCGCGCGGCGGGTGGTTTGTGGTTGTGGGGGGGTGGGGTGGTTGTGGTGGCGGTGCTTGTTGAACGCGTCTCGCGGCGCTCTCCCACCCCGGGACGCCGGGACCGCCGGGACGGCGCGCTATAATACAAACGTAATATCGTCGGTTTCGCCGTTGCCGGGAGTTAGCGTCGTCGTCGTCGTCGGCGGCGGCGGCGTCCCCCCGAAAGATTTATGTTGCCGTCGCCGGCCGCAGACGGTGGCGCGACGGGCTCACGGAGACCGGGGAACGAGGATTCGTCTTTGCGCCGCCGCCGCCGATGTTTGTTTTTACACAAACACAATTATAATGGTAATATTCACGCGCGCGCACGCACACGCGCGGGACAGTCAAACACCAAACACAATTATAATAAATATCGTAAAAAAAAATAACAAACAAATACACACGGACCTACTACAGACGTACCACTCTATACACACCCGCGGCGCGCGGCGCACACGATATTGTGATTATTACGGCGCGTACGCGCGCACGTCACTCGAATACAAACAATAATCATAATAATATTATAACCCACGCCGCCGTCTGCGCCCGCGTGCACAATAATAATATACGTGCACACGCGGCCCCGGCGCTGCCCTCGGATATTTATTATTGTAATTTACGCCGGCGCGCGCGTCTGCGTCCGTAATAACGACGTTACGACGCGATATTGTAGCGCTCGTGGCGCGCCGCCGCCGCCGCAAAACCCGAACCGCCGCGAGAAACCGGCGGCGGCGGCGGTAATTAAAATACGGGTACCCCCCTCCGCCTCCCGTCGTCCCGTCGCGAAAATGTCCGCGGTCGTAAAAACCCGCGCGCAACGCTGCGGTACGCGTACACCGTCGTTTCGGCACAGTCGGTTCCCCCGCCCCGGGGACACCGGGACCCCGTCGCCCGCCGTTTAGAGTACCGTCCGGGACCGTCCGCGCACCGCGCCGTCGGCCGGTGGGGGGGGGGGAGAAGCGGTCGATCGAGGCCCGCGTTTTCCCGGAATCGGTTTTTTTTTTCGCCGTTCCCCGCGAACGGGTTTTCTCCATTCTCTTTAACAACCCGACCGATCGCAAAACCGCGCGATCCGACGGAACGTTCTCTTTGTTCGTCGGCTACGAACGCGGCGACGGCGAAATAATACCGTGCGCGAAAACGGATTCGCAACGTGCGTGTCCCCGCGCGTCTCAGTCGAACCCGCGAATTAATGCGGACGTCGCGCGAAATGACGAAAAATCGTTTACGCGCGCGTACCGCGTCCGTATACACGCGTCTTGGCGTTGTCCGCGCGAACGCGCGGTGTCAACGACGCACAAATCGCGCGAGTTTTTAAGCGCGCGGCCCCGCACACTCGAATGCGTCGGTCGCCGCACGCGAACAAGGACGACAAACCGTAACGGTAGGTCGGGCCGAGTTCGGTCGGGTCGGGTAATGCGACTTGTTGAAGTCGGAACGAGCGTTCGCTGTTTCACCGTGAAGTCGTTTTCGTCGGCGAAACCCCCACCCCCCCCCACCCCCCGGGACGGGTGTCGACCGGCACAATCAACCGGTACGGTCGGAAAACGCAATCTTCGAGGGCGAGACCGGCAACTGTTCTACTGAAACGTCGACAACGATTACCGTCAAATCGGATGAAAATTCGAAAACGCCGCGACACCGGGCTCCCGTGAAATGTGTTTCGCTGGGAACGTCGAGACAGGGGCGACGCGGAATTCCGCGCGTTACAGCACGTGAATCGTCGGCATGATGTTTCGCGCGGAGGATTCGGTTCGCGGAACCGCGCGGACGTGCGGCAACACTTGCGTTATTCCGTTTGCTCGCGTACCGCGTGTATCGTTGTCGTCCCGTTGTTCGTTTTCCAACGCGCCGACGGGCCCGCGTTCGCCGTGTCGCCGCACAAGTTCCCGGCGGTTAGCACAAAAAAAACAAAAAAAAAGAGAAGACGAGACGGGGCGGGTGAACGTAACGTCGTAATAACGGCAATAATGCCGAGCGGTATGCGGCGGCGCGACGGCATTGATAACGGGCGCACCGCGGGACGGGACCGCGCGCGCGTTAACGCCGTCCGTAACGTTATTACGGCGCGCGGCCGAGAGAGCCAATTACCGGGGCGCTACGACAAAAAGCCAACACGGCCCCGGCGGACCGGGTAATAAATTACAAATTAATGCCGTGTACAATATCGCGTACGCGCACAATGTAATGCAATACGATATATTATAATATATCGGAATATTTATTTATCGGCGCGGCGGCGCTGCTGCGGTAATAAATATCATAAAAACTCTCGACCGCTGCGCCGCGCGTCGGCTCATTTGTACTCCGGAGCGGCCGGCGGCGGCAGTCGGCAGTCGGCTCCTTGCGGGAAGCAAGCGGTCGTCGTGACGGCACGACGACGACCGGCTCGGCCGTCGGACGCGGAAATTGGCGGCGGTGGCGGCGGCGGCCGGACCACCTGCCGCGGACCCGCGTACGCAGTATTTTCGTTAACGATGTTCCGATGGGGCCTGAAGATAATTGAAAAAAATATAAAAAACTCCCCCCCCCGATTCGAAAAGCGTCCGCGGGAGGAAATAAATTCCGCGTGTTCCTGAATCGATCTGCTGATCCGGCGGATCGACAGAGTTTAATTATTCTTGTTATTCAGCGGTTGGAACGTATTATCGGTTTCCGTTGTATTTCAGTTAAGTCGCCCATAGGCCGTAATCACCGATATTTTATTCTTATAATTTTTCATTGTTATTACCGAGCATAAAACAATTGATTAAAAGCTACAATCAAACATGATACGGGTATACGATACAATAAAGCACACGGTTATTCGAATATTGGTAGAGACCGTTTTTCAAGCGTATCGATTACGCCCGATGGCGTTTCTAAATAAAAATATTTAATGTTTTTCGATGTGTTATAATTATCTTTGATCGCCTTAGCTTATTCAAAAATAAAAAATAAAACCTATCCAAAACACTCGAAACAATCATTAAATGATCAAATTTTTATAGGAAATAAATTCAAGTTTAAATTTTAAAAAAAAACATCGAATTAATTTCTTTTCCAATTAGATAATAATATAAAAGTTATGTTATTTCCTTGCCCGCTAATATATCGACATGAATCTTAGTGTAACATTAAATCGGTCGTTCTAATTAAGTTTTTATCTACACATTTTTTTTTTTTAGGAAATTAAATTCATTTCATTTTTCAAATTAAACATTGATTCGTGTCTCTAGTTATTTGACAAATATAATTAAATAACCTTGACAACATCTGTTTTGCTAAATACGTTAAATATTTTGTATTTTATAATTTTTCTTGGGAAAAACAGATTTTACAGTAAATTGTACAATAATAAATAATCAAGAAGAGCTATCAAAAAGTCTTTTATCGTTTTATGATCAGTAATATAGTAATTGAATTATTTGGAGAAAAACCACAAAACCACCCTATTTCCTTACATTTTTCAACTCTCTTGGGACATGGGAACGGGGTGAGTTACCGTGACCGAATTTCACACAAATTACTTTACCACGGTAATGAGCGAAAAAAGGAGGGGGTCAGTCATCAAAAATAACGGCCGCCCTATACATACTACATTAAATACTGTTTTTTCATAGAATTAAACTATATACAAATCCAGTAAGCATCTAAATGTTTTATAAAAATATTGCCAGCATACAAAAACCATACTTATGCATGCCGAGTGTTAGAATTCGGAATTTGGAAATACGTATAATGCAATACGTCATGTCGTTTTGGCGATTCGCTACTGCGCCAATAACCGTAGGGTGCACGCGTATTAAGTAGTGTTTGCAGCGAACGCGTAACATCATTGATTATTGTATTAAACATTGATTGTGCATGCATATCGTAACGAAAACACTTCGCCTACAGCTACGTGTAAAAAAAGGCTAATCGTGTGTTAAAATCATTTTTGGAAAAAAAAAAACACTGTCAAATCGATGCCGGACGAAAGCGCTCCAAGAAAAAATTACATACCAAATAGTTATAAAAACGTTACGGACCCAATAATTGGTGGTGTTGGAAATGATTACGTTTACATAACTGTTGACGAAACGACCGATCCAAGAGGTTTGTATAAATCATTTTTTCGATTTGTCATGTAATGAAATATACTATTTTCGTTTAGGTTTGGCTGTTGCAAATGTATCAATTGGTAAATTAGATGGGACGCCTGGTAAATCATGTTTAGTCGCATGCAAAGAACTAGAATACACCAATTATGAAACTATTTGTCAGTTTATTAATTCCTCGTAGAGAATAAATATTTCCCGGTATTGAACAAAAAGTATTACTTTTTATTAGTGATGTTGGTACTCATATGATCAGAGCAGCAAAAACATTAAACAAATATTTTTCCCGAAATTAATTTATATTCCGTGTATGGCGCACGCGGTTCACAGAGTTCTAGAAAAAATTCGAGAATTGTATCCCGACATTGATAAAACTGGTTAACAATGGTAATATATTAAGTACCTATTTAAAATTTGAATATACGTGTAACTCATTTGTTTATTTCAGGGGAAAAAACTTTCCTAAAAGTACCATCGAGAATAAATAAATACAAAAAAAAAAAAAATACCGGGTACACCATTACCACTCGAACCGATTATTACAAGTCGGGGAACATGGTTAAATGCTGCACTTTTCTATGGGAATAGATTTAATAAACGTGATTGAAAGTTTAACGTTTTTGATATTTTAACAAATATTCCGGGTCTAAATGGGGAAAAAATGTATCTATGTAATTGAAAAAAATGAAGGGTATAAAACTTTAAAGTCTTACTATGAAGTCATGTCAGGTAAAGCAAATGTTAATTTAGATATAACGCCTACTTTATTAAATTGTATTAAATATGCACCAATAACTCTTGTAGACGTAACACGTAGTTTTTCTTTGTACAGACATATTTTAAGTAATAAAAGATTTGATTTTAATGAAAATAATTTAGAAATATACCTAATTATAAATTTTAATTAAGAAAAGAACATTTATCTAACTTTTTATATTACTCTTGCATTTTTATAGTGCAATTTATTATGCAATTTTTGTGTGTTTTAAATGCAATTAAATCCGGTCTTTAATTATAATAATAAAATAATTAATAGTTTGCACAACTTTCCGCTCTATTTACTATTTTAGCTGTTAGGAAATTATAGTTACTCTGGCCAAGTAAATCGAAAATTTTTCTTAGCGCTACAAATGATATTACAACTTTATGATGCCGAATACTTACGAGCCTTTTTTGTACACGTAGCTGTAGACAATGTGTTTTTGTTGTGATACCACGTCTTTTATGCGATCTCAATATCAACATGCAACACTGAGAAAATATTGTTTTACATTTTTCTTTTTAGAGTTGATATATTTTTAGTTATACATTATTACTATAATTATTTTGAATTGCATCCAAAACCTAAAGGAAATTTTGATTTACGCATAAGCCTATTGGTCCATATCAATATCTTTTTTGATAAAAATTCTGAACATTATAATGCCCATATAACTTCCGTTCTATTGAATCAATTTATATAGAATTAGACAAAAGGTACCTCTGAGTAATATTTTTGATGTTTTGACATGAATTAGAAGTCAATTGATTCTGTAGTTTTATAGATATGTGTGCGCATATGTGTTGGGAGGGGGGAGGGTGGATCAAACGAACACGTTGCTGTCTCATTCATACAAATAGTTCGCACCGCCACTGTATGTATATATAATCAGTGGCAGTGTGTAAACAGTTCTAAGTGTGTATGAAATAGGAAGGAAATAGCTTTTAAATTAATCTGAGAACCGTTTCGGATATGTAACAACTTCGGAAATCAATAAGGATTCGTATGCATCCTGTGGCTGCATACGAATTGGTTTCCATAACTAAAAACGTACGTCAGAATTGATTGAAATAAATAGATTGGAGTTCTTAACTAATATTTGTTATAAATTATTATCTCTATAAAACAAAATATCAAACAAATTGTTTTGTTAAATTTTTTTTAAGGGGGAAACCACTATATAATTCAAATGGCAACCTATATAGATAATTCCACAAGTTGATGGAAGTTTATGGAAGATGGACGATTGGTTTAAATAAATTTTAGTATCAGAATTTCGGATTTCCGTCAACTCGCACTTTGGCGAAATATTCCGCATTTAAATTTGGTTAGGAAGAAGTTGTGTTCTAGTTAGTGTTGGTTTTATACTCTTAAATAAGGGCGACAAAAAAGGGTAATGTAATATTTTAAAGCTACTTATTAATATATACCAGATTAGAATTCTCTTTTAATCCGCAAAAAGGCGTTTTAAAATGTCGAAAAATCACAGAAAAAAAGACTTACAAACATTCACAAAAGCAAAAATTATATTAGACGAGTTAAAAAAATCCTTCTACTAATAGTTCTAATTTATTAAATTAAATTTCCAAAAAACTATAAAAATGACTTGCACAAAATATATCTTTTAAATAAAAGATTGTACGTATTATAAAAAAGAATTACTTTTTATTAATCATTTTTGTAGTGTTAAAAAATGTTATTTATAAGCTGAATCCGTTAGATGTAGGACTTTCAAACCCATCTATTATGTTTTTTTATAATTGTTTTTTTGAGGATTTTAAGAGCTCCGGTTTCTATACTAATTAATTAAATGGTCTAAGTAACGAATTCCGAAAAAAAAAAATGTAATACTTTTCGAGATAACGAATGTCTTACGCTATGTCAATCACCCTGTATACTCTGATAAAAATAACAATATCTAATTTGAACAGACCTTTTAGTGTAATTATATTATATTAAAAAAATGAATCTACGGAACGTTCGTCGGTGATATTTTTGCTGACGGACCAAACCGTATCGCCGCTGGATTATAATGAAAAAAAAAAAAAAAACCGAGAGGGTTGTTCCGGTTGTTTGATTATCAAAAAAACAAATCGGGCCGTCGGCGTTAAGATAACATCACTACGGTGACTGTATAGGTATTTACTTTGATACCCCCTATTCATAATAAGTTATTTAATTATTCAATTTCATAATAAATGGGAAAAAAACATGAAAATGTACGAAATGTATTATTGTCGATTTTGATTTTTCGTTGTGATTAAATTAAAAATATTCGTAAAGACTTGAAATTTGTATACACGGACACGGCGGTTATTTTCACCATTTGTATTTATTTATTTTTTTTTTTTTTTTTTATCGATTTTTGGGTTCCCTTGGTTGCTCAATGACAAAACAAACATACCTCCTCAACAGTTGTCCAACGGTTAAGCTCTAACCTATGTTTGATCTGAAGAACGACCGCAATTACATCAACGTCCGGGCAGCGTACCCGAGCTTCACTCCGAATCTTTTTTTTTTCTTTTTGTAATGATTATTGTATTTAATTCATATTTGATTCTCGTTGAGAGTTTTTATTCACATATGAATGCTTTTTAGTTTTGTATGGTATTTGAATGTTTTAAATTGTATCCTGATAATTTGTAAACATAATATATTATAAACCATGCACAGTAAGTATGAAACATTATTGACATGTTACACTGTTTGGAGAAGTGCAATTAAGTCGCGGCAAAGTCGGGCGGTCTCTTCACTGGCCTTTTGAACGCAATCCCTAATGATGTACCAGATTTTAAATGTTCGTATTGTGAATCTCGCCGTCCGTTAACGAAGTAACAAAATTTCGACCAGAAGACATGCAGACCCAATAAAAAAAATACCCTCCATAAAAGCTTACTTGAAAAATGTCGGACCTTGTCGGTGATCGTGTTCCGAGGATTGGTAGAAATCTATACCGAGAGGATAATGGGATGGTATAGCCATTTTACTATATGAACGTGTGGTTTTTTTTTTTTTTATTTTTAACATTTTTTTTTTCTACAAATCTTCTCGGTACGTTTCGAGTGATTCACAACTATAACTTGAATGTCCGTTGGTTTTTATATTCTGAGTGGAGCGAAGAAGCTTATGGTTTTTACAATGATATATTTTTTTTTTTTTTTATCAGTGAATAACTTTTCTATACCAGTAATTTTGTTCCGATTCACAATGATAGCACTTTTCCTGAAAGAAAATCTGACTGGGGAAGTACTTTAAGAAAGGCGCTTTTTGATATTTTTAGAAGTTTTCTCAACAAACTGGGAAAACCGGGAAAAAACATGAGGAAACCGGAAAAATAGATACAATATCAAATATAATATAAGTAAATAATATTGTATAAATATTATGCCATTGTTTTATCATAACGTGACATATATATTGTTTGTAAAGCAACACTATATCAACCGAGCTCCGCTCAGAATCGTTTTTTCGCTAGCAATTGTTATGATCGTTGTTTACAGACATTATGCCTATAACTGGGACTGTGCATTTGTAGGAAAGTGCATTTTTTTTAGCTGATTATAAAACAACTTTCTAAGTACGTAATCTGAATTATACAACAACAGGTTAGTTTATGAAATTTTAATTTGCATTTTTTGACGTTTTTAATTTTCAATGTTTTTTTTTTGGACTTTTTACGTTATATTTTCCGTTTTGGTCGTTTTCCCGGTATTTGTAATCAAATTCCAGCAGTTAACATTTGTGCGTATATATTTTTTGTTTTACGCAGGCTGTATATACGTCAAATTACTAGTTTATAAAATAATATTTTCCACGAGCAGTATACGGATTAGGTAATGATAAGGTTTCGATAAAATAAGGCAATATTGATTAGATTAGTAATTTGTGAGTTTGCGATGCATCGATATCGGTAAAATCAAAATGAATATCAAAATAAAATTAAAAACCATTTTAGGTGCATTTTAAAATTTCATTTTTTATGATACATTAAATGCATATGTATTTTATTGCATTTGTTGTTCATTTATTGTGCATTTTTAAAGTTTTTCGCTGCGTTCGATTCACTGCCCAACACCTACAACCGTGCAGGCTGCACCGGTCTCAGTTATCCGAAAACCGCGTTTTTCCCTCCGCTGTGTCTTTTATTTTTTATATCGTTAGGAATATGTGGCGGCGGTAAGGAAGACAAAATGAAAAACAAAACACTTGAATATTAATATAAATTCATTATTATTGTCGATGGATAAAAAAAAAAAAAAATGTACAAAATAATAATAATAATAATAATAATAATAATAATGATACGTATATTTAATAATAATAAAAATAATATATCGACGAGCGTTGCCGCACCAACGCCCACATACGTGGATTTATTACAATAATTATAATATTGTTTCGCTGACGTAAATTGTATAATACAACATTTTTTTTTTCATTTTTGTTTCTCGGTTAATTGACAGTTTAATAATAATAATAATAATAATACAATATACACATGTACATATATATTTGATAACGACGATAAATATCGTCGACGACGACGACGACGACGCGAGACGATTTTCGCGACGTCCGTCGGACAAGTTCGGGCGAATCGATAATACAATCGGTTCATTTTTTACGATACATCATTTACGATCTCAAATAGGACTTCTAATTAATGTACAAACGTTTGTGCGGTTTTCGATTCTTACCGAACACTTACACAGTTTTCGTTGAGAAAATCGCGCGCTTTCTCTTTCGTATTTTTGACCGACAATTTCGAAAAAAAACAAAAAACAAAATCGACACAGACCCGCGCGCGGGCACCCGCTAATTGTATCGGGTACGTTATATACAAAACGACCGTGTGCATTTGCTTGTACGCGATGAAAAAAAAAAGGGGGGCGTGGGGGCGGCGGGAGGGTCCGAGGCGGCGGCGGTGGCGGCGACGGGGTAACGCGCGCGCCCGATTATCGCACGGCGGAGATCGTCCGGAGTTCCGGACGCGGGACGCGGTCAAACACGGCGACGAAAACAGAATAACATCGTTGTCGCTGTTAACATTTGTGCGCGGGCGGCGACGTCCGCGACACGCGACGCACGGCTGCAATGACCGCGGGCGGCGACGTTGTTGTCCGTCCGGCGCGCGTCACCGGCAAATCGACCGGCAAACCGTAATGACCGCGCCGACCGTCGCCGATTCCGAGTTTGCCCGCGCTCGTGCGAAACAATAACGCGCGGCGAACGGCTGCGAACGACGGCCGGGGCTCCGGGGGTTTCGCGACGCTTGTGTTCCCCGACCGTTCCGTTTTGTCGGTTTCGTCTCTTCGGTTCGCACCGCTCGCGCGCGAATTGAGATGCGACCGTTTTCGGCGCGACCTCTTACGCGATTTTCGCCGTTCGTTAACGCGCACATTGTTTTACAACTCGCAAACACTGTTCACTCGGTTTTCAGTTTTTTTTTTTCCACATTACAAATAAAATAACGTCGGTCATTGATAATATTTGTCGGGGTTAGTATAACGATCCGTTAACGAGTAACAACAATCGACGGCTGTTTCCGGGTTTGTCGATTGTGACGGCGGCCAGCGGGAATATTGTTTGACGACGACGATGCCGCACGAGTTATTATGTCCCCCCCCCATCCCCCGAATCGTGGAGTATATTTTTACATTCGTTCGGTAAATAAAATAATTTATTGCGATTTTTAAGCGCATTTATTTTTACAGCGATAATGCAATTTTAGATTTTTATTTTTTTTTTTTTTACGGCTATAATACTAAACAATTTTAATGCTTTTTTAGCGCTATAACTTCCGAGCCTTGATAATAATAACTCGCGATTGGCTGCGGTATATTTCGAACGTAAAACTCTCACTTTTTTTTTTCATTTTTTTTAGTGACGGGCCGAAACCTTTTTTTACCGGTATTCCGATGTACGCCGACCTAACCTACCCGATATGGTGATATTCGAAATCGTAAGCCACCAGTCAATGTTGAAATGAACCAGTATGGTATAATATTTACACGTATATCGGTTGAAATACCGACTTTTTTTATTATTTTTTTTTTTTTCGTTTTCAAAATCCAAAGACGTAAGGGTAATTTCGCTCGGGAAATCGATTTTCAACGACGACGGTATTAATAATCGTTTCTCTCGTGTGACACCGACACGTCACTATATTGCGATACGATACGCTGATTGCGGTATACCGGCCGAAGAAACGCCGCGGCACGTCTAAAAACCGTCAATATTCAAGGCGCCGGGAGACGACTCCCGCCGGTAAGAGTACCCGACGGCAGAACAGGGAATCCGCGGGCACCGTGAGGACACCGGTTCGGGCGTCCTATGCAGTAGGTGATATCGTCGGGTATCTCCGGGTGCGTCGCGCAGCCGTCCGACGGTACAATACGACGATAATGGGACAGCGGCAGGCAGTGGCGTAACCGGATACGGATCTAGGGGAGGCGAAATAATTTATCCGCCATAATCGAAACCCCGAGCCCCCTCCCATACCGCCCGGTTAAATTATATTTTTATTGCATGTACACACGGTATACCGATATATTTGTGTGTTTGTACACAAATCTTAAAACTCTTTTTACGGTTCGGAAACGAATTGTAGGTACCCATGATATTGTTGCATAGTAATATCACATACCCGCGGCACAAAATTTCATTAACAAAAAAGCGTTGTAAGCGGCGGGGGAAAAAAAAAGTAACGAGTTCGGTGAATGTGCCCGTGTGTTGCATTCTTTCGTAATTCGAGAAGACTCAAAGATTCGTACTGTCGGATTATCTGTGTGTGGGGGCGGGGGAGGGGGTGGGGGGTTGCAAAACGATACCTCCGCCCAGTGCCCGCGAAAATGTCGAAGCGGCGATCGCCTCTACCCCGTCGCCCCCCACGATTACGCCACCGGCGGCGGGGGTTACGACTCGACGTTGTGAATTCGTCCGGCCTCCGCGGGGTACACATCGCAATATCGCAAAGGACGAAATCGCGCGTGTTCCGACAATTTCGAGAACCTCTACTTTTCGGGCCGCATCTGCTTTCGTAAATAACACTCCGGCTCGACTTGGCGTCTGCGAGGCGACGACGTGTGTCGGGTTATCGCGTACGCGTGTAATAATATTGGAAATTCCGCCGGTCCGCCGGTTTCTGAAAAACGGATTCGATTTTTGTGGGCGGGGTAGCGGCGGACGATGCGCGGCCCGATACTCGGGGATTCGTTTATACGAGGTGGATTTTTTTTTAGTTTTTTTTTTTTTTTTTTTAATTTGATTTCGATTCGCCGCGTCCCGTCCGTTTCGAGCACAGTCACGTTCGGTTCGTTAAAATACCAATTATCTCGTTGCGTTTAATAGCAGCAGCAGCGGTAGTATAGTAGCAGTAGTAGTAGTAGTAGTAGTAGTAGTAGTAGTAGTAGTAGTAGTAGTTGTAGCAGTAGTAGTAGTAGTATACGGTAGATAGGTAGGTAATAATCTATATGCGTGTGCGCGCGCGCGCGCGTGTGTGTATGTGTGTGTGTATACAGCGGTTATTGTGTTTTGAAAAAAATAAAAAAATAAAAATGCGCGTATTATTATCGATATTAACGCGTGTGTTGTACGATTGTCCCGGACGGATCGCCTTTCGTTCTGTATGATATATAGACATATATATATATTTTTTTTTTTTATATTATCATCATCATCACGCGTCGGGCTACCGCGCGGTAGGCGGGCAGAGATTCGAGAAAATCGAGAACGAAGCGCGGGGGCGATATTGTATTATTGTTACGGGTAATATTATTGTTATTGTTGTCGGCCGATTCGTCATCGCAATCTCCTCCTACGGTGATATCCGGCGGTCTGAAAATATTACGTCCGTTGAACCGGCGCGGCCGGATTTCGGTGTTTTCCCGCGCGCGGGAACCCGGACGACCGCGGGCGTAAATAAATATTCTACCGCCCCCTCCCTACAAACAGGCGGATGGGAGGGATGCGTTTTAATTAATCGACGTTTGGTGCGACGGTATTTCGTTCGGTTTAGGAAACGCCGCGCGTCGCGCGCTTATACGTCCGAAAAACTGCGGGCCGGTAAGCCGCGCGACGTCCGCCCGTACGCCACCCCCCCCCCCCCCCCCCCNCCCCCACCGCGAAAAACCGGCACGTCGGAGTCCCGTTAAAAATCCCCTATTGTGAAACGTTTTCTTTTTTTTTTTTTTTTTTTTTTTACAAGCTTTACGCGTAAACACAACGATAATATACAGTTAGATACAGTGTACAATAACGATTGATTCGTGGCGTCCTACACTAGTTTATAGGATTATCGTATTATTGTCACGACTATATAACGTTACGAAGACGCCGCCGACGTGGACGACGACAGCGACGACGAAGACGAACAGCGGACGCCGTTGACCGCGGCGGCCGCTTCGTCTCCGCTTCTCAACCGCAGCTCGTCCCTGTGCCGGCGGGCCTTCATGCGGAGCGCCGCGATGCTCGAGGACCGGCGGTCCAGCTCGGCGGCGGCCGCGGCCGCCACGGCCGCAGCCACGCGTCCCGGCGACGCGTCCCCGGCGTCGGACCCGGCGCCCGGGCTGCTGCCGTTGCTGCAGCTACTCATCCCGCTGCCCGTGCCCCGTACGCTGGCGGTCGCGGTAGCGGGCGGCGGGGGCGGCGAACCGGTAGCCGACGAGTCGGACTGATGCGGCGGTACCGGCACCGGCTGTCGGTGATGGTGCGCCGGGACCGGGAGCGCGGCCGGCGGAGGCAGCGGCGCCGGCAACGGAGTGTGCAGCAGCACCGCGCCGGCGGAGGACGCCGAGTGCGGTGGCGGTGGCGGCGAACCGCGCAGCGCGCCGACGCCGGGGCGCATAGCCGCCGCGGCCATGGCCATGTTGGCCAACAGACTGTTAAAGTGGTGTTGCTGCTGTTGATGGTGCTGGTACGTTTGGCCGCCAGCGCCGCGGAGTTGTTGCTGGTAAGCGACCGTCGCGTACGGGTGATGGTGATGGGCCGCGGTGGTCGGCTGCACCGGCTGTGGCTGCGCCGGCGGGTGATAGAGCGTCGGCTGGAGCGGCAGTGTGGCGGGCGGCGAACCGCCGTCTTCGGGCGCGGCCGCCGGTGGCGTTGCCGACCCGGGCGGCGATCTTTGATGCTGTTGCACCGCCGCGGTCGGATATCGGAAGTTGGTGACCCCGTTGCTGCGGTGCTGCTGTTGCTGGAGCTGCTGGAGCTCGATCGCGGCCGCGGCCACGGAAAGGGCCTGCGAAGACGGCGGCGGCGGCGACCTACTACCGCCGCCGTGGTGGTGACTTCGTAGCGCGGCGGCCATCGCGGCCGCGGCCTGCAACTGTTGCTGATGGTGGTGATGGTGATGCTGATGGTGTCCGCTGTGTAGCAGATGATGATGGTTACCCAGTCCTATGCTTCCAATCCCCAAGCTACCGGCCCCGATGCCGGCCAGTCCACCTATGCCGGCCGGCATCATGAACGGCGGATTGGCCGGTAGAGGGCTGAGCGCGGTCGCGGCCGACGGGCTGTGCCGGCCCGCCGACATGGAACCCGGCACACCCAGGTACGGGTTTCCGCCTCCGCTGTACGGGTGCGCCTGAGGACCGACTTTTTCCTGTTTGCGCCACTTTGCCCGCCGGTTCTGGAACCAAACCTGCAACACATCGGGAGGGGAATGAAATATTTAGAAAACTGTTTGACGCGAACAATATTAGATATCACTACACATTATTTTGATGTCCGCGGACCCGGGCCAGCGATTATAATATTTAAGATGTCGTCAACGCCGGGGGGAATACGTTCAATTTGAAAATCGTGTTACATTACATTACAAAACATGCAATTATATCCCATACGAATCCATTAGTAACATTATAAGTCCAATTATTTTTTTTTCGTTTTAAATTTGTTTTGTATATTTTTCTTAACCGCGTAAACGTCGTAAATATCAAAAAGAAACGAAACATAAGTAAATTGCATAGTACATATATTAGTTTTTTTTTTTTTTTTTAACTTTAAAAATCTTACATTGGTGACCGTAATAGTGAACCGGCCAAATACGGTTATTGTAGACTGGCCGAAAAGGGAATGGTTCATTTTGACCGAAAACGTTCACACCTATACGTTCGGAAACACGAAGCGGAAGAATCGGAACAAGGAGATCGCGTACACACCAATAGTGATCAAACTTTCTTTAACGGAGAGCCATAAAAAAAAAAGCTGTTATTGGAAATGGTTGGAACGATAAACCATTGCTTGACGAAAGACGATTCCGAGCGTAGTTCGTTAATACATAATTTGAAGTGCTTTCAGTAAAGTTGCTACACGTAAAAATCGGAGCAAGTTTACTATGAAAAAACGTGTCCACGGACTAGAAGAAGAGGGGGAAAAAAAATAAACATCTTAGTAAAACCAACAGCTGACGTACACGGTACACAGGAAAAAATTAGAAATTAGAAATACAGCACGCCGGTTAATTTCTTCGCACGACAGTCGCAATGTATCTTATCGCGAAATAACAGCAACGCCGCTAAGCCGTTTGGAAAAAAATTTCAAAGGGTATGCACGTATACTCGTAGTACGCCTGTTACCAGGGTTCGGAAACCATTTTCAAAAAAAAATTGCAAAACCGTGATTTTCAAAGAGCCACGACGGTTATGTTTTAAAAACAAATCATAATATTACAAAAAAGGACTAATATATTGTACTACAAGTAAGCAATTCCATTGGTAGGCATTTAATGGAATTTTAATTTATATTTTACGGGTTTAGCTCTGGATATAGCATGTCTAAATATTGATGCATTTTCCAAAGAGCCACAGATTGCATCTCGAGGAGCCGCAGATACCCATGGTTTACGATTAAAGATAGTACTATCGACTATTGACTATCAATTTCATTATAATGTCAACAAATTCACAGTGAACAGCTGATGTGAAAACAGCTGAATTTTAATATTATTGATACTATAAACAGCCCGTAGGAGAAAAAAATCGGCCCGATTCGAATATGTTTGCGCCTCTATTTCGAAAAACCAAAATGACACTCCTGAAATTGCAACTGTGGGATGGCGCGTGGCGGCTTCCGGTGCTATTGAATTGGATCCCAAGATTTATCTATTGAGTTGGCTCCCGCGGTATTTATTTTAGGAATCCATTGGTTATAAAAATTGTTCGAAATAATAATTTAAAATACAAATATTGCATTTTATATAGATCATCAAAATCGTTAAAATTTAAATTGAATTTTTTTTAATGTATTTTGGAGAGGTTTATGGCGGGTGAATTTAAAACTATTTCCTATTAAAATCAATTCTTCCTTTTCACTATTAATTTTTTCGACGAATTAATTTCATACATAATTATAGAGGTACGAATCGCGATAAATTGCGACGAACTGCGAGCACTGCGTTTAACGATATAAACAGTGAAATTAGTAGTTTAGTTGCGTAATTACGACGGTTGTGCCTGTCTAACCCGCTATCGGATTAAAGACTAGACGATTCCCAGCAGTTATTAGGCACTGTGTCGTTAAAAATATTGAAGTCCCGTACTTTTTCTACTTGAATGGCAATACGTTTAAACGGACACGAGTGACACGTTTGACAAAAAACGGTTTTATGGTAAATAATTATTTATCTTCTCATGTAAACACGTAATTTTCCGTTAAAATGTCCCTACGCGTAAAGCCGTCCTGTTCTGTATGGAATTAAATGTGAAACACTCATAATGTGTTAAAAGGGACCCGCGGTATGTGTATGATTTATGCGTACAGCAAATCAGATTTACTAAGAGAAAAATAGGTTTTTGTTTCTCCTGAAAAATCGTTAAATCGTCTATATTATGTTCCTTTTAACGAATGCCTACATTCGCGTTTATATTGACAGAGCACTTTGTATTTTGAGATCCGTCCGGTCGAAATCGTATTTGGAGCCGATTCGATATTCAGTTTCACGCAGCGGCGTATATACGTGGAGGGGAGGGGGTCCACGGGGTCCGGACTCGCCTTCATTGACCCCATTTATACCTATTCAAACATCCGTGCCGATATAAATCGCAACCGCATGAAATGTAATCGTAATTGTTGCGAATGGTTGCCACTTGCTGGTCGGAAATCGACTAGGTGCAGTGATTAAAATTCCTCCAGAGTCTAGAGGAACAGCCTCTCTAGAACGACCTGCCTGATACCCGTTATGAACTACACACACACACATATATTATTAATTACTTTCGTTTGCCAGCACGATTACAGATAGATTACATCTATAATCGTATTTGTCAATTTCTCTGTTATCAGCAATATTCATATTTCAAATGTCGTGATTACCGCTTTCGGGCCCGACAAATGGTTTGCCAAACGTACATTATTCGACTGAATTACTGTGTGCGCATTACCGGTGTGGACAGCAACGTCTCGAAAACGTTGAAAACACGTGTAAGATCGATGCCAACGGACAATGCGGTGATCTCTTAATGTTTTTTTTGAAATGTAACTCCGTACGGTTGTAAATGCATTTTCTTCAAAGGGCGGTGTTCCATTGTACGCGGACGAGGCTGAATAGGCCTTCAGGCGTTTAGTGCCCCCTTCTCCCCCTCTCCCCGCGCGCATTCGTTTGCGACAAATGTCCGGGCCCGCTCCGCGAAAAGTTCCTGCACACGCAGCCGGTTCAACGTTTGGGTGAGGCGCTTCGCGGCCGCGTCACACCGGGGGGGGGACCGTCGATTCAACGGTCGCCGGAACACCCGCACGCCGCTGCCGCGCCGCCTAATCTAATACGATATTGCGTTACGACGGCGCGCGCGTTTTTTTTTTTATATCATTAATTCCGGGGTTAGTTTTTTTTTTTCTGTTTTTAATTTTGTCGTTCTGGCCGTCGTCCCGCGGGAGAGAAAATAAAATAATAAAGTTCGCGCGCGCGCGCGCGCGCACGTACAGTATCGTTACGCCGAGTTAACCGCGGCGGTGTTTAATAACAACATAATGAACGCAGTTGTGTGCCCACACCGGCCCGTATAATACGTATCTGTACGTACGCGTGTTCACGGGTAATAAATATTATTAATATAACGCGCCGGTGCGTGTGAGAACGGGACGAAAATCCGACGGCGGGGCGGGGTGTCGGTCCGGCGGGCGGCGGGGTGCGCGCGCGCGCGGGGGGAAATCGTAGAAAAACGCCCAGTCATCGGAAACCAATTTAAACGGGGCCCGGGCGGCGGCGGCGGCGGCGGCGTACGTACTCGCGGCGTGTATACGCGCGCGCGCGCTCTCGCTCGGCACAATAATAGGTGTAAATCGTATTAACGGGTGCGCGACGTATAACGCGCACCGATAATATACCGTATACGGGTGTACGCACAACGTAATGTTATTATCGTTATTATTATTATCGTCGTCGTCGTCGTCGTTATTATTGTTATTATATTATGCGTGTGTCGACGGCGATGCGACCGATGGCCGCCGCGGCGCGCAACGGAACGCGTTTAACGCGCGATCGTTTCGGAAAACCGTGGAGAGATCGGTGCGCGACAATAATGTCATAACGCGATATTATAATGACGGTGCGCGGGTATCGTCGTCCGGCGGGACGGACAATATAATAATAATGATAATACTGTATTACGTTATAACAATATAACGCGGCGCGTTAAGTGAAAAAACTGAAAAAAAAAATAAAAAAATATGTATATACATACATAAAAAAAAAAATATCCGTAATGCGCCGTGTTAGAAAAACGTATTATTATTATTATTATTGTTGTCGTCGTCGTCGTCGTCGTTGTTGGCGGCGGTGTAATAACGCGGGAGAGGCGACGATAATAATATCACCGCGATTGTCGTCCGACGACAATGGACGGTGGCGGCGGCCATCGCGCGCCGCGGCGCATTGTCGCCCGCCGCACCGTTACGACGGTAACGCGCGGCGCGGCGCACGGTGCGTCCGCGTACCGCGGCGGCGGCGGTACGCGCGCCGACGCATAACCGGCGCAGCTGTTACAATAGCGTCCGACGGTACGCGATTATTGCGGCCGGTGCGCCGATTCCGCGCGGAACGATTAGGCGAGCCACCGCGGTCCGGCGGCTCGTCATTGCGCGTAACGATACGCGTTACTGTGGCGGCGGGCGTGTTTTGCCGCGGGGTGCGCTCGATCGTTTCGTTCGTAACATGATTCGCGACGCGTAACTGCCCGGCACACCGCGCCGGGCGACCCGTTTGAATGGGCGCGCACTCTCGTCACCCCGGAAATTGTTCGACTTTTTCCGTTTTCTCGTACACGCGCGGGACAAGCGGCTCTGCGGTTTTGTATCCGCGTCGTTTCCCGTCGCCCACGTCCGAATTCGTGGACAGAACTGCTGCTCGCCTGTGGTTAAAAACTCCGCAAACGGACGGGGCGTTAGTCAGAATAAATGTCGGCGTTGACATTTTTGGTTTCCGTCGATCCGTTGACGAGATATTCCGACGAGAGTGGTGGAGTATCATTGGTGCGACCTTCCGATCCAAACTTAAAAGCGGAATATCTCGTCGACGAAAAATAACACCGATGTAAAACTGTAGAGCCGCTGGTTTCTTAAACGTTCTACAAATGTCGAAAAATGTTAATGCTCTCCAAGGTGACGGATCACCCGGTACGCCGTCGTCTACGCGGTCGCCAGACGACAACGGGTCCCGTATATTATACGCGTCCGGCAGTAATAGTACACCGCGGTGCTATGGACGCGCGTGTGCGTCCTACAGTTTCAAAAATCGACAATCGAAAAATATAACAAAAGTCACATTTCCACCGCGATATAGAGTTATCGACTAATTTGGCCGGTGTACCAATCGCTAAATTAAACATCGAACATCTCCTGAAATATTAAAAATCAATTCTCGAATTCGTAACACAAAACAAAATATAAATTTAAAAAAATAAACGTTTCTACCGGCAGAGAAGTGTGCACTGGAAATATTAATTCTGCAGTGAAAGTGTTTGTATCCTAAATCACACGCGAAAGTCCGTGCGCATGCCGAAACCACCCCCCAATCGATCGAACGCGAATTTTCTGTAAAGGTGCACCGCGGGAATAACGCATCGTATAAGGCTACTTCACCCCCCCCCTCCCATCACCCGATCGGTGTTCGGCGAATACGTACTTAAGGTGCAGGTGCATTTGCACCGCCTAAAATTCAGGGTGGGTAGAAATGTTCCGGGTTGACGATTTTTTATAAACCGGGTACCGTGTACTGGCCTAGTAAAATTATTAATACTTACCGGGTATTAAGTATAGGCCGAGTAGAAATGTTCATACTAACTGGGTGTTGAGTATTGGCTTAGTAGAAATGTGAATACGAAATGGGGACCGAGGCACTATATGCGTTTATCAACTACCGATTGAGAAATTATAAATTTAATTTAAATTTTTTAAATTGCTTGTTGTTTTAAAACGTACCAATTAGATTTTTCCCGTTATATTAATATTATAGGTATGCATATACATATTTGTGTATAGATTATCAGCGTTTTTCAGTTACCGGATATGGGCCGGGTAAAAATTTAGTTTTACGACGGGTACCGGATAAGGGTCGATTGTTAAATACGATATCGATATTATATATCGATATTATATATCGATACGATATTCAAAACTTAATATGAACATGATAGTGTTTTGATCACTGATGGCCAATAAGTAAATAGTTTTCGTAGAAACAGATATAGATTAAATATACTGTGGAAATAAATAAGACGACTATGACTATAGTAGATACAATATCAGTAATTACATTAACTTCAAAAACAGTGTAATGTATAAAACTTAAAACGATTTATTTATATAAAAAAAACGTGCTATGCATTGTGCTTAAGTATCGCGGAAATTTCGACCTTGGATTCAAATGGAAATAATATTGTTGAGGGTGTGTATGGGTAAGAGTGGGCGGGTGGTTAAAACATATGTTCGCACCACCCACTGAAAAATAGTTCGGCGCCTCTGCCCCCTATCCCCGATTAAGTGACCCCCACGAACGGAAACCGACGCGGGACTATTGGTATTTCCGGTGGATACGACAAATTCGTTTTTGGCGATTTACTTTGGTTATTTCGGCGACACGGACGGTGAACGAAAAACAAACGGCTGCACTACTGTGTAGTCTGATAAGGTTTTCACGGGCATAAATGTGTTCTAAATAAAAAATAATAATAATAACAAATAATGGCGGGAAACGACGGTTGCTTGTGATGGATACGGGATGGAAACGGAGAGACGCGGGGAGACGCATTTTAGTATATTTGTTCTTCTTCTGTGCACGGGCATCGCAGTAAACCAATAAAATATTATTTTTGAATAATAATAATTGAGCCAGCGAGTAAATGTAAACGCAAACAACTGAAAATCGCGTTTATAAAAATATAACTTGTATTAATATTGTACGAGTATTATGGTAGGTGTCGCGGAGAAATCAGTTATTTTTCTTTGGAAATATGACCGACAGTGCCGGATTTAAGGGAGGCATTTGAGGGCATTTGCCCCGAGCCCCTGAATTTTCGTGGCCCCCGAGAATATCAAAACATAATTGATTTTTAAAAAAGTAAAAAAAAAAATCTAGTACATATTAATAATATAATAAAAGTATCGGTAGTTTTACGAAAATATTTATAATTTATAATATTATTGTGTCATTAAATATTTTAATATATTATGTACATAGAATTTTCTTAAGTACAATAAGTCGTTGGAAAAAAATAGCATTAGACACTCGCGTATAGAAAAAAAATTCCGAAAATTGACCCGAGCCCTTCTTCCCCGGGACCGAACGATATGCGAAAAATCTACAAAATGTTATCATTTAGGGTTCGTGATACCCGCAACACGGACACGGCTCATAGGCGGCTAATATACTTTGGAAAAACGTCATATTTGGGCTTTTGCCCGGACAAACCTAGTAGCGACCACCGTTATAAATTGGAGCTAAATTGCTGGTAGAAAAGTAGTTCACAAGAAAAAAAAAAATCATAATATTTTACTAATATATTTTGCACATTTTTCCGTTTTTCGGGCTTTTTCTCCGTTTTTTTTTTTCGGTTTTTCACATTTGTTGAGAAAACTCCTGAGAAAAATTACCTCTTTACCTCCCTACGCTTTAGATTCCGAGTGGACCGAAGAAGCCTATGGTTTTACAATGAAGTTTATCATTTTTTTTTTTTAATCTATGAACAATTTGTTTACCAAAACTATTGCTACGATACGCAAGTGTAGCACTTTTCCTGAAAGGAAATTCGACTGCGGAGGTATTCTAAGGAGGACTTTTTTTTTTTTGATTTTATCAGGCAACAGCCGTAATACGACGTTCCGCCCGAGTATCGCGGTGGACGCTTCGCGTTTCTACCGGGCATTTCTGAGAATCGTCCGACTTCGGCTTTCGCCCGTAACATATTTGCCTATACCCGATAAAAAAAAAAAAAAAACAATATACGCACACCCGTACACGGCGATACCGGCCGACAAGCGCCGTGCGCGCCCAGGTAAACACACAATGACCGCGGTAACCGCGCCGACCTTATCGTGCGTGCGGCGCGTACGGTACCTATCGTATGAAACCGTACACCTCGTGTATTATTCGAGCCCGGTCCGGTCGCCTATCGTCGTTATAAACAACACTCAAATGTCCGGGGGCGGCGACCACCGGCTCGTTAGCGTATTATTTTCGTATTATCATTATTGTTATTACTGTTATTCGTCGACGACGGTCCGTTTAATATGAATAACAATAATAATAATAATAATAATAATCATAAAAAATACATTATACGCCGGTACGCAACAATCGCGACGGGACAGAAGAGCTCCTCGCGGTACACGTCACCTCCCCCCGCCGCCGCAGCCGTCCGACCCGCTTTTTTTATTTTTTTGATAGTCATAAATACCGCCGCCGTCCGTTTATCATATATTGTTGTTGCGACGTCGGATAAGTGTATAATAATAATATCGTATGCTATTATATTACGCTGGTGTGTTTTTTTTTTTTTTTTAAACGGGTATATATCTCTCTGATGCCCGACGCCACCGCGCGCGGTCGTTGTTAATTTAAAATTATTAAAAACAAATAAAAGACCGCGGCGAACAAAAACGTAAATAAATTATCGAATAAAACACCGACGACGCGAGTCGGCGATATAATTGGGAACACGAAAAAAAAAACAACGAACGGCCCGCGGCCGATGCGTCCGCAGCGTGTGTCGTGCGATGTTTTTTTTTTTTCTATTCTTCTCTCTCTCTCTCTCTCTCTCACTCTCTTTTCTATTTTTAATAACAATAATAAAACATTATCATACGATATGGGTGTACCCGCGATATACGCGCGCACGTCTGCGCGTACTCGAATCGGAGAAAAAAAAATCATCGAGGACGGACGCCGGTTTTAGTTAAATAAATAGAATATAACGTTACAGCGATTTCGTCCCACGCGTCCCTACACCGGTACCAAGTAAATGGAGTTGATTAATTGGAAGGCTCAGTGCAACTGTAAGACCGCGACAAGTCCGCTTTTCGAAATCGTTTGGAAAACTGAACAAAAAAAAAAAAAAAACTATTTTTACGATGGCAATTGTCTATTATTTTGCCCAGAATTTTGTTGAACCGGCCAAGTCTTTTTTTCAATGACGAGTCGTTATTGTTTTCGTACAGACGGACACGCAGAATTTATTACCCCCGAAACTATCAAAAAGTCGTTTTGAACTCGCCTCGTTGTGTTGCACTGAGCCCTTCAAACTATAACTTCAATATTATTTAAAATACCTTGCGGCTAAAAAAACCATACTAATTATTGATAAGCATAAAGTTTTTCCCAAAGGGGGTGGGAATTCCTGCTTGGGGAGGAATTAAGGTACTACGTGGGGGATAATATAGCGTTGAATCACAAACGAACAACGATATTTCTTTCAGCCCGACCTGACTGCATTGATTGTTGGTCGTTGCGTCCGAATTGCATTGGTCTACGTGCAGCGTCACAAACACTTAGAAAAGTGTTTATTTACATATTACGATGCTAGCTGATCCTGCACGGCGTTGCTTGTGGATTCCCCCTTTTTGAAACTCCATTAAAAGTCAGCACTAAGCTACATATATTTTTAATACAGTTATTTGGGTTGTTTTGAGCAAAATTAAAATATAACGAATACCCGGCGTGTTCTACTACGCAAACAAAAGAAATACATTTTGTTTATTTGTTAGCTTTTTTATTAATAGCCATTTTAAATTTGTAATACATTCCATCCACTTTGCAAGTAAATTTGTATCGCAATTGTCGGCTATTTCGGCTTTTTTATTTATTCAGTTTTATCCGTATCGTCAAGGTAACCAATTAATCAACATACATAATTAGATTTTCGTATTTGAAATACCAATAATCCCCCCTTTAGGGGTGTAATTTCGAAATTAAAATCTGCTATAAACCTTTCCCGAGAATTTCGGATTATATTATCGGTGAAAACCGCATCCCAATCGGTCCAGTAGATTCTGGGTCTATACATATATAACGGACATACAAACATTTCTTGTGTTTTATAAAATCGATTTTGTGTTTACCTGTATTCTTGCTTCGGTCAGTCCGATTTTCGACGCCAGTTCCTCCCTGAAACAGACAAACACGAATGGTTAATATGACTACGATCGAAATTTCATTATTTGTGTAAAACACAATTGTTTTGCTTTTCACGCCGCGTTCAATCGTTCGTCATTGATTAAAACATCGAGTTTAAATGAACGAAGTACGTATGAAATATATGCGTACTGAGATTAAAAATATATAATTTGACACGTTTACATTCAGGGGTGAATAATAATAAGTAAAAAATGTTCACGGGAGTGGTGTAAAGCCGAAATGACAAATAAAGCGAAGAGCTTATGACTTAAGGGCTTATGCGGGAGCTATTGTAGGCCGGAAGTCCGGTAGGTGCGATACATAAAGTTATTTAATTTATAACCGTTGTTATAAAACGAAAAACAAAAAAAAAAATTAATAAACCGCGATGGACGAAAACTCACCTGGTAAACACGTCCGGATAGTGGGTCCGACCGAACGCCTTTTCCAGCTCGTCCAGCTGGTAACTGGTGAACGTGGTCCGGTACCGACGCTGTTTGCGTTTGTTACCGCCGCCGCCGGCCGACGGAGGTCCGCCGTAACAGTCGTCGTCGTTGTCCGCTGACGGGTCGTGAACGCCGCCGCCGCCGCCAGAAACGTCCAACGCCATCCCGTCGCCGTCGCCGGCATCGTTGTCATCGCAGACGCCGCCACCGCCACCGCCGTCATCGCCGTCATCGTCACCGGCACCGCCGCCGCCGTAATAGCCAGAACTCGTCTGGGGTGGAGGCGGTGACGAGTAATATTCGTAACCGGCTGCGGCGGCGGCCGCGGCCGCGGCCACCATTGTCCTGCAATGTTGCTGCTGTTGGAGCTGCTGTTGTAACTGTTGTTGTTGTTGCTGCTGCTGTTGGAACTGCTGCTGCTGCTGTTGTTGTTGTTGCTGCTGCTGCTGCTGCTGCTGCTGCTGTTGCTGTTGGAGCTGCTGTTGATGCTGTTGCTGTTGTTGGGCCGCTGCGGCCGCGGCCACGACCGCGGATCTCTGTCGCATCATCGTGGCGGCCGCAGCCATGGCCACCGCGGTAGCCGCTGCTGCGCGACGCCGGTCGTCGAACGACACCGCGCCGTGGTGCGGCGAAATAACGTCCGTCGATTCGTCCGACTGCAGCAGCCGGTCGTCTCGTCTTCGTCTCCCATCCGACGCCACTGAAAACGGAACACAAAAACATTATAATTATTATTACGAACTCGGAAAGAAATGCGCGAGGGACGAGGCGGTTTCGTTTGTATTCATTTGTTTTCTGTATTGTCTGGAGAAATTTTAGTCGGCGAAATGAGCACCGCGGAAAAACCGTTCGAAAACGCGCGCTTTGTTTCTGTCGGTTTTCGTCGGGCGACCTTCGACTGTATACACTTCGATAAAACATAATACGATGTAACAACCATTGTTCGTGCAATACGGTTTAAAACAAAAATGCGAATCCGTAATTTGCAGGCATTCGTTATGTCCGGATTGAGATTTATTTTTATGCGACAGGTTTCGCCTCCCGATTCGACGGGAACCGTGAACTCGCGTCGCCGCCGAGAACAGGAGGAGGCGGGCTTTTCGTCCGTCGGCGGACGCGGATCGCCGACGGGCGCAGAGCGCGTGCGCGCCCGTCGGAGACGATAATGTTAAACAATGTGCAACCGTGACAGAAACGGCTGGCGGCCGCCATCGCTCCGTACTGTGCGTGTATAAAGGAGAGTCGTACACAGCGGGGGGGCTGACGATCGCGTAAACAGTACGGTCGAAATGTCCCCGACGGCCGCTTTAATGACCGTGTCGTCTGTCGAACGCTCACGTTAGAGGTGTCTTACATCGTACGACTATAACGATTTTATTCAACCCGCTACAAACGCGAGACGGTCTGCCGGCTCGGTGTTCCGACGGCCCGTCGAAACTATATGATTACGGACAAATCGACGGTTTGCGTTTACCGAGGGGTGAAATAACGGAAAGGCGATCGCGAGTCGTGTTTGCCGCGCGCGTGTGTTGGCCGTACGCGCGTAGTGTACGGCGGGTTCGTTTCCGGGGCGACCCGCCGGGAGATTATCGTCAACAGCAGACCGCCGGAAGAGCGCCGCCGGCAACGCTATATAAAAAACACCGACACCTTAAACACACACACACACACACACAAACACACACCGACACACACGCATAAACACACGAACACGCCGCGCGCAGACAGTACCGGTAGATGACAACGCAAGTAGCGGTCGAAAAAGTTGACGCGACGGCAGGGAACGACGACGACGAGGACGACGACCGCCGCGTCCGCGCCGTGTCCGCGCTGATCATGGGCATGCTGCTGGAACACTTCGGCGACGGGCGTCCGGTGCACGCGGACGTCGTCATGGACACCGTCCAGTACCGGTTGACGCACGACGACGCGGCCGAGATGGCCCGCGAACATCGGCGGCCCACCGCGGACGACGTCGGTGACGCGGCCGACGAGGACGACAACGCCGTACGCTGTCACTACTACAGCGCCGACGACCGGCGGCGGCAACACGAATACTACTGCGTGTGGGCCGACCCGTGCGTGTCCAGGGCCTACCACCGGTGCCTGTTGATGTTGGTCGAGTCCGGTCGTATCCACGTGTTGTACGACTGCGCCGGCGGATGCGGCGGACACCGCGAGGACGGCCGCGGCTCCTACTGCGGCAACGGATGCGAAATCGCGTGTGCGAAGGGGACGGCGGCGGTGGCCCTGGCGCTCGCGTCTACCGACCGCCCGAAGCTACCGACGGCTACGAGAGCGTTGTGCCGCCGCCGGTCATAAACCCTCTTTCGGTATTTTATTTTAAAGTGAAAATACAATTTCAGGAATTAACACCGCGAATCTGTGCTCATTATCTACTCGAGCCCGATTTTTATGTAACCGTTGAGCTCGGAAAAAAACAAAACCGACATACTATCCGGTGTATTATTAACTGATATTCTATCAGCTCATGGCCGAAAAGCCGATAGCATTGTTTACGGAAGAATATTACAGAAGTCGAAGTTTTATAAAATTCCAATGTTTTCAACGGTGTTTAGTTAAAATTGTTATAGATACTTAAATTCTAAACTTAACTAGAAACTTTTGTTTAATACTGTACGCGGGTGAAGCCGGATAACTCAGCCATTGTACACACTGAATGATAGTATAAAATAATTATTTCGATAAAATGTGTGAGTTAAGAGAGAATGACATCAGTGAATGTGTCCATAATGTAGTAGTTACTGTCACTCCCAAGGTGTAATAGCTATCGACTGTCGTGCGCGCATGCGATAGTGTTATAGCAGCTTTCACGGCGGTTATTCAATAGCAGTAGACATAATATACTGTCGCCATGTTTACACGACAATAGTACGATGTTCATAATATAACTGTAATTACTATCACGCAATAATGAATTTCGCGAATTCCAACTGCGGTTCTAAGACCTATCCACGGCCATAGAAGATGAGGTGGTAGCTTAATTATATTCGCAAATAGGAACTTTTAAAGTCCTCTATTATTTTTGCTTTATTTTAAATATTTTTTAAGCGCTTTTTTGACGTTTTCGAGTGCTTTTTGATGGATTTTAAGAGCATATAAATCCAATCTCTCATTATAATATATAAATAATAAGATTATGAGATAGGAAACAAAGTTCCCGCAGCCGTAGTTGTTATAAATTTCAGTATCAGTTTAGGTGTTTTATAGTAATTTCAATAATAACGATAATTTTATTTATTTTTTTTTTTATTATTATTTTTATTCAATTTGATGAAATTAATTTTTTAATATTACGTACCATGTGAAAACTGTACCTAATTATTATTATTCTCGGCGATTAATTAAAAAAAAAAAAAAATTGAAAATTACCGGTAATTTTGCATCACTAAACATAATATTATAGATTATGGGACACCGTAATGAAATTATCGTATAGCGTGTGTATGTGTGTGTTTGTGTGTGTGTGCGTGTGTCGAAAAGTGTCGGGAACTGGCATACTATACGTGCAGGTAAAATATAATACCCGAGTAAAATACGCGGTCAACGTGCCATTTTTTTTTTTTTTTTTTTTTTTACACGCTTTATAATATTACATTATTTGTTTTGATTGCCGAAAATCGCTCGCGTCACCGCCGCGTGACGAGAAATGAGAGACAAGACGTACCTATAATAATATAATATACAAGCACATGATAATAATAATAATAATAATAATATTATTATTATTATTATTATTATTATTGTTGTTGGGCATTATACGCTCCGGCCGGGTGTATGATAATGAAAATATTGTCGTCAAACCCGTCACCCGAACCGCATTTTACGTATTATAATAAAACGCTCGCATGTTATTTATTATTATCAACTGTAACAGTATTATAATAATATCGCATTATAGGTACAATAATAGTGCGGGTACCAATCGCGTAGGAGGCGTATTATTGTAATATTTTTTCGATTGAAATCGATTTAATATAATATTGTACACCGTTCGCGACAAGCTACGGTGTAATGACGTTTTGAATATGTTTTTTTTTTTTTTTTTTTTTTTTTTTTTGTATTCAGCAACGAGTCCGAGACAGTCTGGACCTAATTCGAATTATACGCGCGAACGAGAGAAAATCTAATTTCGCACACCTAAATGAGGCCCGGCGTGATTGCGGTGACGTTTGCCGTCCGTCGCGCTGCAGTCTTTCTAATGGACTTTGATGAAAAATTGCGTGTACGCGTAAAACAAACGTAAAATCACCTAAAATTCGGTTTATAGAGATTACACACCGATTGTAAAATAATTCGTAGACGATAAAGCCTAACCTAACCTAACCTAACCGCCCTGTCGAGATTTTAGAACGATTCTTTAATCGTTATCATAGGCGCAATTAGACTACCATCTCTGGAGGTGCTAAAATTATAGACGAATCACAGACCCATGGCGACAATGCTCTCACGATCCCCTTTACACGACACTTACAATAAGTAAATAAACATTCAATTTTCAATTTTTTATATAAAAATTTGTCATAACCTTTTTAATTTTATTTTTTACACACACGTGCATTATAGTATGTAGGCAGTCTGTGTTTTTCTGTTTATTAATTATAAAATGCACGGATTAAATATTTAATCGATACTATAAAATAAAAAAAACAGATCGGGTATTTTTGGGGGACTAATTTTAAACTTGGGTGTGCTTAAGACCTTTTAGCACCCCTCTAGATGTGCCTATGAATTCATTATCGAAGGTACGAAAAATTAACTTTTTTCTAAAATAACTATAAAGATTTTAACGAGTTTTACAACTGTTTTACGCGAATACATTTTACTACGTATGTTAATATTGCCCGTACGATTGATTTCGAGATGAATTTTAAAAATTTTAAATAAATAGACCATATTCAGGAGTAAATCTTCGTAAATACTGTACGAAAAAAAAAAATTACATTAAACAAAAGTCGTATAAAATATAAAATATCGGAAGATTACATATTCTACGTAATAGAATACTTAAACTACCGAGAATTACCTTTTTATCTTTGGTCCCGGTGGAAGAAGGATTTTCGGCAATTTTTATTTTCATAATTTTTCATAACACAATCTTTTTCTCCCAATTATTTTTAGGTCTAAATGATATAGGTGTATGTGTTCTCGTGTAACACACATGGCACCATACTGAGCATTTAAATAAATTCACTACGATGCATACGTTTTGTTCGGCAAAAAACGCATAAGTCATATCATAACAAATTAGACATTTACCAATAATTGTCGAATTGCGTTATTCTCAACATGTTATTCACAACAAATAATATAGACAATTGAATTCTTCCCCGGGACCAAAGGTACACTACTATATGAAAATTAAATACCCCTAAGCACTTTCATCTATGGCGTTCGGTTTATAGAAAACCGAAATATCGGTATGGAGGGGGAGAGGAACCTAACGGTCTAAATATATAGGTAGGTAGTAAACGTTATTACAATATAATATATTTGTAATCTATTCGATAATATCACGGGTTACGGACACACCCCGAATACAGTTAGGTTTAATTTTGTCGTACGCGTTTACGGTCCAACGCCCACCCCCGGGGAGGCGGGAAACGCCCCGCCATCGTGTTCCGAAAAGTCGGAAATCCCTCGTCCCCGACCGGAAACGCCGTTCGACGGAGGGATGTGGAAAGTTGTCGGTTCGCGGGTGTGGGGAACCTACACCGACTCAAAACGACACGAACGTTATTGCAACGTTCCTCTTAATCGAATAATATACTCGCCGGCCGGTGTTTAACATTTAAATTATTATTACGGTTTTTTCCGCTTCGCAATGTCGAGCGACTAATCGTTTTCGTGATAGATCGACCGTTTGCTGTGAAATAATATAATAATATATCAGCAGTAAGTTCCTTCCTACGCCAAAAGTGTGTCTATATTTACGCTCGAGCGATTCGACTACGACAAAAACCTATACAAAATCTATTCATAAGACTATATTGTAATTAACACTATGCACTCATAGCTATAATTTTGTGTTTAAATTGCACTGTTTTTATGACTCTGTGACTTTGACTTTGCTGTACTTTGCTTATGCCTGCAATACTGTTTTCCGGTGTTTAACAATGTTTACATATTATTATACGGTAGATCGTCACGTCTTTACGGACACTTGTGTACCACCTCTCTTATCGGACAAAATAATAAAGTCCCGGAATAAAAAAGACTGAGGTATTATTCTTGTATGTATTTCAATCCGTCTATAATAACGGACGCGAACAGTAATATTTGTCCCCGTTGACATAGTAACGGACAACAGTTTTACAAAGAAATCAAACGATTTATGCGTCCGAACCGACCATTTTTTTTATAGCTGACAAACGTTCAAGTTTATTTTTCGGTCAATACAGGTACAAAGGTATATAAGTGAAAAAAAAAAATGATTTACTATAATTTTAAAACAATTCGTATTGCTTATTCTGAGTCGGTCGTTTTTTCTTTGCGATGGCGCTTACCGTTCCGCGGAAATCGTTCGATTTAAAACAAAAGGTGACAATTATGCGGCGCAAAAACACTGTGTCGTGCATTGTCCGTTTTCGTAAAATCACCGAAAATGTAACATCGGGAAAATCAGTCCAACGGGATTTGACTATTGAAACACAATAACCTTTCTACAACCTGTATATAACGGACACTTTTGATGGTTTCTGCGAGCGTTCCTTGCGAGCAGGCTGCACTGCGGTATTGCATAATAGTTTTTTTTTCGATTGTTCGGGATTTTCAGAATCTCAAATTAACGTATATTAGGACCAGTAGCGTAACTATAACTTCTAATGCAAACACCAAAATATTGTATAAATGCCGATAAGAAAACAAAATCATTCGAAAAAGGCCTTCGCTTGTCAAATAATGCCTTGGGCCCGTAGATCATTGTCCGTCATGCCATCCTATCGCTACGCCACTGATCAGGACCCACCCATATCCCCCCCCGGGAATTTATGCTTCGGTATTGGTATTAAATATGATTTCGCTTACCCCGCGGTAACGTTTCGTCGCGGGTGCATCGCTGTCTGACATAATAATATTATAAGTAGGTACAGTGCAGGGAAATGCGGTGCACGTCTGATGACGGTGGAAACTTGGTCGAGTATCGCCCGGCGCTCTCGAGGTATACCGTGACGAACGGAACCGGAAACTGCGAAGCCGGTCCCGTGTATGCCTACTGCACGTAGTTAAATAATTTGCGTTTGCGAGGCGTGCGCAGATGTGGCAGGTGAGCGATAATAATAATTAGTCGGTTAATTTCCCGT